GCAAAGTCTCATGGACATGCATGTGCAACTTCAAGATCACCACATAACCCACATCCTTTACTCACTCCTACTCAAAGCATATGCAGGTGCCTTCATGCAACCAAGTAGTGATTACAGCATATTTCCATAGACTCTAGTCCCTCCTGAAGAATGGAAAACTGATTCATCACTAAAAGATTTAGAAGTTATCTTATGTTCTTTCTTTCTTTCTTGCTTGCTTTCTTTCTTCTTCTTCTTCGTTATAACTATAACCACCAAAGTTTTTTTGAACACTGAGTATATATATATTGCTGTTACATTATAAAGATAAAATATAGCCTACATCTCTCTTTGTAAAACCTTTTTGGCATAAAGATAGCATAAAAATGAGTCTAGAACCCTAAGGTTCTATATAAACTGAACTTCTGCATGAATGTTTGCATGAATGCACCTGCATATGCTTTGAAGAGGAATATAAGTCAGTTTCTCATCTTGGTCTGTTGTTACCGTAGACTTAAGCAGGACAGGAAGAAGCCCCTCTTCTACAAACTAAACACATACGCTCTCAATGCCCAATGTCATGCAAGAGATGCTTTGTGAGCCAAAAGATCAAACCAAGTTTCTTAAGAAAACCAACCGCAGCAGGTTTCAGTTTGACTCAGAGACTGAGCTGTGAGTGCCGGTGTATATTTCAGTAAACCTGGTCATGTGAGATGAGAGACATTGTTCACTGTAAAAAGTGGTAACCTGCAATTGTTACTTAAAAGAGCTATTTTCACCTGATTTAACCCTGATTTAAAATTAGGTCGTTTGTATAAATGAATGCATGTGCTGTAGGTTGATTCAATGATCTTAAAATATTTCAAACTTGAATAAAACTTGGTAATACATGTGTTGCCATTTTTAGTTTACCATTTTTCAGTGTACTTTGATTATTCCACACACAAAATCTGAGAAAAGAAATATATAAACACATTTAAAATCACTAGAGTTTTTAAAATCATTAGATTTAGGCTCTGTTTGACCATGAAATGTAGTTCATTTAAAATACAAACAATACTCTAATACATTTAGCTACTTAACATAGTCAGACAACAAATATGAAATGAAAATAAATATAAAATTTAACATTCAAAAATATAAAAAATGAAGAATGTTTTTCACTAATATAAACATTTAAAGTCTTAAGAACATTTATATGTAACTATATATAACATGCGTTCAGTGTGTGTGTGTGTGTGTGTGTGTGTGTGAGAACGAGGAGGGTCAAACTGTCGTGGGAGGATTAACTGTCATGGGAGGATTCACACACCGTTCTGCTGTTTTTTTTTCGGCAGACAGTCTCATTAGATCAGACTCGGAACTGTTGAATAAAATGTTTCACATATTTATTTTGTTCTGTATGTGCTGGTGGTGCCTGATTGGTAAGTTTTAAACGTATTTTTATGGCTTCATTTTTTTTTTCATTACACAATAATAAAGCTGCCGCTACTGTTAGTACACTCTTAAAAACAAAGGTGCTTCACGATGCCATAGAAGAACCTTTTTTTTGTCTAAATGGTTCCATAAAGAACCTTTAACATCTGAAGAACCTTTCTGTTTCACAAAAGGTTCTTTGTGGCGAAAGAAGGTTCTTCAGATTATAAAAAGTTAAGAAAGAGATGGTTCTTTAAAGAACCTTTGACTGAATGGTTGTTTGTGGAAACAAAAATGGCTCTTCTATGGCATCGCTGTGAAGAACCTGCATCAAACTGCATCAAAACACTGGAAACACAGGAATGCAAATTTGCATTAATGTAATAATACAACGTTCCCCACACTTTACAAACATAATCTTACCTGTGTAAAGATGCACTGGTGTTCATCTCTATAAATGATGAGCATATGTTCCACTAAAAAAACATGTCATCATGCAAAGAATGCAAAGGACTTCACTTGTGTTAAGCGTCTGGGTTTGATTTACAATTTGTTTGTAAGTAATGTCTCTTCACATTTAATCATAAACATACATTGCTAGAGATTTTGTGAGAGAAAAAGTTACAATATCAAATTAAATGTATAAATGTCATTTTTAAAAACTGCAGCGTTAAACATTTAACTAATAGTTTGCATGATCACTTTAGTTTTAACAGCCCGAGTAACATGTTTTGAAGAAACAGATCTAGATGAGCGTTTTGTTGTTTTAATCCATCTATTATTGCTGTTGAAACAGTTGAGACTCGTGATGACGAGATAACTTACACTGAGCCAGTGTTCTACAAAAGAAATGCACATAAATCGGTAAGATCATTTATTCCTGTGTCATCTGTCTCTGTATGATTTCAGCAGTTAGTCAGATTTAGATCAGTGTGCGCTTGCGTTTTTGTCTGTAATAATAATCCATTACACACACCAGCACAATATCCGATAATTATAAAAGCCTCCTTTTTTATTAGGCCACATGTTATTTTATAATTAATTGAATATTCCAGTACAATTCAATATATGTGTTGAGTGTTGCCCATTATGACTAACAGCCCTATATCTTGTGAACAAAACTTAAGAAAAAAAAAAGAGGAAAAATACCAAGTTTCAAGTTTCCTCTGATGAGAGCTAATCGTCCATTTCAACTGACAGATGAAGGCTGTAAATTCCAATGCCGTCCACTAGGATCAGAAATACCGGTACTTCTCTGAGTCTTGTTTTCACCTGTTTGAATGGCTAAAAAGCTTTAAATATTTGACAAAAAGGGCATTTTCATCTGCAGCATGAATTATCTGCAAGATGTCTGTAAGACGTTTTCTGTCAGATGTTGGTGCCAATTTACAAAAGCACACACCAAGACCGTTCCCTTTATAATAACTAGTTTTTCATCATTAACATCACTTACTAACATAAAAAAGACAATACAAAATATATATGCTATTTGAATTTTGTTTGGAGTCTTGTAGCCTGTCATTTTATAGAATGGAGCTTCAATTGTGAAACTGAGTGTAAAAATTCTTTATGAAAAAACTGGGCCAGATGGGTTTGTAATGATATAGGGGTGAGTAAATGAAGAAGGATTGATATTTGCATCAGTGAATCGTTATTTACCTGTTTATCAATGTGCTTTGCAACAATCATTATTTTTATATATTATAAAATGTGCTTTATTTCTGATGCAAAGCTGAATTTTCAGCAGCCATTTGGTGATTTGCTTTTCAAGAAACGTGTCTCAGTTGTCATCAGCTGTTTAAAACAGTTGTGCTGTTTCTTATTTTTGTGGACAAACTACCATGTGAAAGGAAAATTAAACACTGAAGATTAATTATGCCGAAAATACAGCTTTGATCACAGGAATGTAATACATTTTACAAAATATTCAAGCAGAAAGTTATTTTAAATTGTAATATGTCACCATATTACTGTTTGGTACTGTTTATCAAATGAATCCAGCCCTGGTCGTTATAAGTGACTTCTTTCTAAATAAATACATAAATAAATCTGAATTATTCTTAATTCATATTTTTCACACAAACACTACAAGTGATTTTGAATTTAACACTTTTTTTTATTTAAAATATTTTGATTTTAAATATGATTTAGATATGATTTTCTTTTTTTTTGTTTTTGTTTTACAGAATAAGAAAGATAAAGAGGAAGAGCATGTGGACTATACACCTGTCGCCATGAGAAAAGAGCAAACTCGTACAAAACCCTCTGAGTCTGTGGTTGAGTTTTGGAAGTGGTTGGCTTATTAGCGTGATTTCTGAAGGATCATGTGACACTGAAGGCTGGAATAATGATGATGCAAATTCAGCTTTAATCACAGGAATAAATTACTTTTTTTACAATATGTTCCCATAGAAAACAGTCATTTTAAATTGTAATAATATTTCACAATAATACTGTTTTACTGTTATTTTTCATCAAATAAACAGTCTTGATGATCAGAACAGACTTCTTAAAAAAAAAAAATAATAATTCCAAACATTTGACCAGTAGTGTAAATATTCAGGAAATCCCAGAAAACATACAAAGTTAAAGAAAACAAAAAATACAAATGTATAGAAACGTTTGTAAAATTAAAACATCCATGTCCAGTTAGTTATGATGTAATATGCTAAAATGCTGTATATGTGTATAATATGACACTATTTTAGAAAATCAGTCTAAAATATTAATGAATTTTCTTAAAACATTTACATCACAATTACATGCTTTATCATGTACCTATATTGAGGCTATTTACAATGAGTACATTCAAATTAAACTCAATGAAAATTACAAATGTTGCTTTGGCAGCGAGGTGATTATTTTTATTTATTTATTAACTGTTTTTCAGTTAACATTTATTTTATTTCAAATAATGAAGTCATTTTAGTTTAGGTTGTAGTCTACTTTAATAACCCGGGTGCTACCAAAAGACTGGACCTGGCAGAGCGGAGTATTCATGCGAAAAGTGTATTTGCAGGATTTTTAAAACTTAATTTAAGGCTTTTTTAAGACCTGCACAAAAGTTCAGATACAGGTTTTCATAAAAAGAAAAAAGCTTTCTAAAATGCGAAACTCTTTAAGAAAAAGGATGAATCAAAAATACCAATTATTATGTACAAAAAAATCTTAGTATCTTAATGGTTCAGATTTTTATAATGCATTAGCAGCTTTACAACTGCATACAATTATGTAAAAATTATTTTCACACTGTTCTGAACAGAAACAGCAGACGGGCTGATTGGAAATGCAAATTCATTCTCTGACAGCAGGTGGCACTTTTGCAATGGCGGAAATATAGCGATTTCCCCGGAAACGGCTGTAAAAGCAGCGCTGCACTTATAAACGCTACTACACTCTAAAAAATGCTGGGTTGTTTCAACCCAACCTTGGGTCAAAAATGGACTAACCCAACTTTTGGGTTAAAAATTCAATAAAAAAATTTAACCCAACGGTTGGTTTAGTCCATATTTGACCCAAAGTTGGGTTGAAACAACCCAGCATTTTTTAGAATGTAGGCATTATAGATATAAGATAAAATAAAAATGCTATCAATACTTTTCTGAAGACAGTCAATTCCCCTTATACATTTACATAAATGCGCTGCGTTTCGACTTAGAATAAATATTGCAGATTTCAAAGAAATCATATGCTTTTAAAGTTTTCTCACATTAAGCCATATCACGGTTCCTGTTTCTCAAATTTAAAACCTCTTGAAATTGTAATTACGATTTTTCTGAAAGTGAAAGTGAAAGTAAAAACATTCCCTTGAAAACATTCTTGTACCATTTAAGATTTCTATGCCCTTAAGTTAGATACAACAATTTAAAAAAATTTAAGGACCCACGGAAACGCTGGTGAAGGTGAATCATCTCCATCACACAGTGATGATAATTCTTTATGTGTACATTTATGTTACACCATGACACTAAAGCGGAGACATAACATCCTGCTGATACAAAAATGAATTCACACCACTGTTAATTCAGACGGTAATTTTACACAGTATATGTTACAATACATCATTGTTATATTACATTGTTCTTATGGCCCCTACTGCAGCACCACCAGCAGCACTTTACACAAATTACAATTACAACCACCAGCAGAACAACAGCAGCAGCAGATATTGCAACTGCTATAACTCCTAAAGGCAGACTTGAATCTGTAATGATAAAGACAGACAGTCATTATTACAAGCGATGATCTGATAATCAAGGTTACTGCTTTCTTTTTCTAATATTTAGCCTACATCCTTCTACTTTGGTCATCTGCTGTATGATATTGATTTAACTGGTAAATGGCGCCATCTGGTGTTCTTTTGAAGAACAGCTGCTAAAGCAGCATCACCACTGAGAGCTCAACATAATGCAGCAGCATTAAGAGGACAACTGACTATTACACGAAATTGAAATGAAATAACACTCACCAATGACAGTAATGCTTAATCGCTTTATGCGGATGATGCTGATGCTGTGACGACAGCGGATGCTGCAGACGATCTTTAGTTTATAGAGTCCTGAGTCTGTGGTTCTGGTGTTTGTGATGGTCAGAGATCCAGTCTGATAATCCAGCGTCAGTCTGTCTCTGAATCTCTCATCACACTGATCATCTGTACAGATCTTACTCTGATGTCCAGTGAATTCAGCGATGAGAATGTCATTAAAAAACCATCTCATCAAATCATTTGGGTTTGTTATTACTTGACTGTCCAAAGTGACAGATGATCCTTCCTGCACTGACTTTCTCTTCATTTCATCTCGTTCATCAGCAGGAACATCTGGAACACAAAGCAACAGTTAATCGTAGCTCTATTTTAAAGAAAGAAATACCATAAATTAAAATGACACGAGAAAACTGTAGATATGAGCTTTGTTGGCTTTCACTCTGAAAAGCAATGTCTGTCCACTTTTTAATCTGAATTTGTATTTGCATCACTTTATTGGCAAATGTTATGAATAAATTATTTGTCTGCATGTAAATTAAAATACAGGGTAATAAGTAATATACATCTAAATGTAATAGCTTTGGATATCACTATTAGGGGTGTGCGATATATGGTATATCGCCTACGATAATATCATAACTGTTGTTTAAACTATAAGTGATTTGACATTATCAAGTATATCACAAAAAATAAACAAAAACGCATCCAGAGAGTGCACGCTTTCACTGTGTGATTTAGTCTATTAAAATAAATTTAGAATTCAACCAAAATTCAAGATATGGGGACAGAAAAGTATGACTATGACATATGAAAATATGGCATTTATATTTTTATCATCTGATTCTGATATAGTTAATATAACACTAAGAGAGACATTTTTTTATCTCCAAATACCAGTACGACTGCAAATGTGATGTTGATTTGATGAACAGTTCAATAAACAAGAAGTGACTTATTTTTAACTGACTTACATTTTAGACACAACAGTTCTTGTTTTTGCTGTATTTTGACAACGAACATAGTTCCAAACAAGCCACAGCAGAACTGTTTGCATCTCTGAGCAACACTACAGTGTTTCGTTACTGAATCAATCAGCCGTTTGAACGAATTGGTTGAATGATTGACTCGCTCATGCAGTAATTTGCTGCCACCTACTGGCGATCTTCAGTTTATATTCAAAATATATTTTATCTTAATTTTAATTAACTTCAGTTAAATTCTAACTTAAAAGTTAAACTCCTGCAAAATAATCACCTGACAGAATATGAAAAATATCAAAAGCTTTGGTCAGCTGTCCACGGCAGTCCTAAACCTCCACAATATTTTGCTGAGCGTGTTAATGTACCAGCACAATAACACTCTGCAAAATATTGTCTAATTATCGTTATCAACAAAATTCCAGAAAATATCGAGATATCATTATTCGTCATTATCGCACACCCCTATAGTCACTACTATAATAAACAAAATAATAATGTTGTGATTCAAGCATATTTAACCTGCTATTAAATGTTAAATGACTCACCATGAACAGCAATATGGAAGATCTTTTGAATTATTTTTATGCTGCTTATCAGTAGTTTGTAAAGTCCAGAGTCTGTGGTTCTGGTGTTTGTGATGGTCAGAGATCCAGTCTGATGATCCAGCTTCAGTCTGTCTCTGAATCTCTCTTTACACTGTTCATCTGTACAGATCTTACTCTGATCTCCAGTGATTTGAGCGATGCGAAAGTCATTCAAATACCATTTCATTGTGTCCTGATGGTTAATTTCAACATCAGTGTGTAGAGTAACTGAATCTCCCTCCTTCATTGACACTGACACTCCATCTGTCTCAACACCAGACACACCTGAAGAAGAAATAAAAAGTTAATTAAATTGAACAACAAACAACAAAAAGGGACATTCTTGTTAAAAAGTTGATAGCCTTTCACTCTTTCTGCTTTTTGGCAGTGAAACCATATGGCTTAAGTTTGGCTACACCTGATACCCATTTCAATCATTATTGCCTGCAAAAACTTCATAATCACTGAAGATGTCAACATTGTAATCAACCTCTTATTTACATTGTACCTGCACTTTATTTATTGAGCACTTTCAGGGGATTTTATACTTTCAGACTTTTTCATACTTCACCTTTGATTGGCCATTTTATTAATAAATCAGCAGAAACACATGATATGTTGTGATTCTCAATGAAAAAATAAAACAATGCATAAAAATAAATCTTTTGCTGAAAGAAATTAATTCCTCAGCACTTTGACTTTCACATTGATTTAAAATAATTAAGAAATAATAGTCAAGCACCATTCATGCTATTAACATTAAATTTATTATAAGCGTGTTTGTTCATGTATGAAAATTGCGTCACTTTGACATGCTTGTAAAGGTGATAGATTATCTCAATCTAATTTCAAAGTATGTTATATTCTATTATACTACATTACATATACAACAGTTCTTTCTGGTCCTCGAATCTGATTGGCTGAGAGGTCTTTCCACGCATGAGATATTGACACAATATCTCCACACGAACCGTTTCACCATTTGTATCATTCTGCTTCAGTATTTCTTACAGCGAGTGTCAAAGTGGCCGCCCAAACCCACTGTCATTTTAGAACTACTACTGTTGTTGTGTCACCGAATGTAGTTTTAAGAGTTTTTAAGGCGAGAATGTAGCAGTTTGTTAATAAGGATAAAGTCTATTTGAAAATTTGCTTCTTTTTCAGAGATGTTTTATAGTGGTTGAACATGAGACAAAAGCATTTCAACAACATCTTGTAAATCGCAGCCGCAAATGCACTGAGCAACTGACTAAATTACACTCACCAATAACAGTAATGCCGAATCTTCTAATACTGATGATGCTGTGGTGAGGGTGGATGTGACTGTTGTTCTGTAGTTTATAAAGTCCAGCGTCTGTGGTTGTGATGTTCATGATGGTCAGAGATCCAGTCTGATGATCCAGCTTCAGTCTGTCTCTGAATCTCTCTTCACACTGATCATCTGTACAGATCTTACTCTGATCTCCAGTGATTTTGGCGATGGGATCGTCATTAAAAAACCATGTCATCGAATCATTTGGACTTTTTACTAGACCAGGATTTAAAGTGACAGATTCTCCCTCCATCGCTGACTTGGTATTTGTTTTATCCGTTTCTGCACCAGACACGTCTGAAACAAAAACCAACAGCTGACTGCAGGATCTTTTTTGGAAACTAAACAACTACAGTCCAAAAACAGATATGCGAATGAGTAGCGGTGCACACTTGGGACCCTCTTGCCAAGTTTGGGGTCTCTGCGATTTACAGTCTCTGATGCCCACACACTTTTAGAGCAGAGAAATAATAAAGACCAAAAAAAAAAAAGGAAATTTAGAACAAACGCAATAGAGTTCCAGCAATTTTGGTGCTTGGACCCCTAAAAATAACAAAAAAACAATGAATAATAATAATAATAATAACAAAAACGTATGTGATTTAGGCATATTTAACATGCTTTAAAATGTTACATGACTCACCAACATTGAAGACCTTTTGAATGATTCTTCTGCTGATTGCGTGAAGTTGGAAAACTCCAGAGTCTGTGGTTCTGGTGTTTGTGATGGTGAGATCACCCGTCTAAAAAAAGGAAATTTAGAAGAAACGCAATAGAGTTCCAGCAATTTTGGTGCTTGGACCCCTAAAAATAACAAAAAAACAATGAATAATAATAATAATAATAACAAAAACCTATGTGATTTAGGCATATTTAACATGCTTTAAAATGTTACATGACTCACCAACATTGAAGACCTTTTGAATGATTCTTCTGCTGATTGCGTGAAGTTGGAAAACTCCAGAGTCTGTGGTTCTGGTGTTTGTGATGGTGAGATCACCCGTCTGACTGTCCAGCTTCAGTCTGTCTCTGAATCTCTCTTTAAACTGTTTATCTGTACAGATCTTACTCTGATCTCCAGTGATTTGAGCGATGCGAGTGTCACTAAAATACCATGTCATTCTGTCTTGCTGATTTGTTTTAACACCAGTGTGTAGAGTGACTGAATCTCCCTCCATCACAAACACTTCATCTTTAACATCATCATCATCATTACCTGAAAAAGAAATGAACAAATAATTATAAATCACTGCTGGAAGAGAGGGAAAAGAATATTCAAAAGGACAGTGCTGTACTTTTTTTTCTAAAGGTAATAATGATTAAAGGTAGAGAAATATGTCTAGATTCATAATGTAATACATGCAAACAAACAGCAGAAGAACATCATAGATTTACACATTCACTCATCAGCAGGGGTTAAATTGGGATTTGTCATGTGGGGGGCTCTGTGGTTTCTGCTTACCAGCTAGGCTTTTGAGGGGTGCACGTGTATGCAAAGCCTACAAAAATGTTATATCAATTGACAAACTGTAAAATATAACAAGTTCAGAGAGCCCGCTGTTATGAACACTAAAATGCAGATCAAAATCATTCTAGATGCTGGCAGTCCCTGTTGAAAAAACCAGCATATGCTGGTTAGGTATGTTTTGACGCTGGGATGCTGGTTTAAGCTGGTCCTTTGCTGGTTTAAACTGGTCCTTTGCTGGTTTATGCTGGTCCTTTGCTGGTTTAAGCTGGTAAGCAGCTTAAACCAGCATCCCAGCGTCAAAACATACCTAACCAGCATATGCTGTTTTTTCAACAGGGGTGTGCAAATTTAAGACTTTTTAAGATCTTTTTTAAGACCTGCAAAAATTAATTAAAAAATAAAAAGTAATACCATGAGCAGGGTAGGGCAATGTTTATATTAAACGGTAAAATGACTGTAAAAACATGATTTAATTACAGTTGAGATACAGGTTTCTCATGAATGATCCCACATAATGACTCATAGGCCTAACAATCGTGAGTCATCATAACTATAACACTAGCCATGTCAGACATCAGTTACTTCAGACAGCAATAATACACGTATGTCTAGTTAAAGCTGCAGTCTGTAACTTTTGGCGCTCTAGCGGTTAATAAACAGAACTGCACGCGTCTTGCGGAAGAACATTGTAGCCGGAGCTACTTCTCTCTGTCTATGGCGAGTCACGCAGGTCCTGGGCTACTCCGCAGCGGTACCTACCAGAACCACTCTAAAATAGTCCGAATATAAAAACGTATCATAGGTGTACCGTAGCGATTCAGGATAAGCCAAAAATACGGTTTGGAAAATGGTTTCATGATGTACTCAATTATTATATAAATTTTGTAAGTTATGAACACAAAAAAAGTTACGGACTGCGCAGCTTCAATTAGACCTGACACAAAATGAAACTAAGCCAGCTTAGCTATTATCGTTTACGGAAAGATATATTTAAACGACTTACCAGGAACGAAACATAGACACAATATGAGCAAAACAAAGCCCTTAATTTTAAACACTTTTTCCGTTGAAAAATGCGAGCCGATTTTGTGCCCCCCATTTTGGTCTACATATAACTTAAGCCAAGGCGTCCGAACCAAGAATGAAAGAGAAAGTCCACGCGTTCTTTCGACGCCAAATAACAGAAGCTTGTGTCAAAAACAAGAAAACACAACTTGGTTGTTTTGCTTTCGATTTAAAAAATGACTGAAATTCAGAAGGGCGTGGCTTCTCAGTCACCTGCGCTCCAGTCAGTGACGTCACTAGCAATCGACCGCGCCCCTGGATGATGTTGGATGAAAATAAAAGCCAAAACATAGCATATAATTAT